GGGCTGACTTGGGTGATGTCGTCGGAGTGGCCTTCGTTATATTGTGTTCGTGGGGCGGTGGCGGAACGGAGGTCCCTGGTGGTGGTGGTTAGCAAGCAAGGGTCGGGTTGGACTAGATGGGGATGGTGGAGGGGACGGCAAACCAAATGATGATGGAGGCTTGGTGGTTGGCGAGTTCTGTGCCGGCGGCTATCGCGTTTGTCTCGTTCGAGCAGGCTAGGGATAGTAAACCGGGAAGGTCCCCTAGTATTTTCATCAGTATGTCCCCTATCTAAATAAACATTGGAACAAACCCACCCCCTATTTGCATCGCTCGGGCATTTGAAGGGTCAAGACGCAAATCCCACACCGAAATTGTACCGTTCTCTCCCGTGGTGCAGACTACCGAATCGCCAACGCTGTAGACCTTTGCCGCATTGAGATTCCCATGGTCTGTCCGGATTGTCTCTGTTGGCCCCTGGCTTAGTCTCAAAGGGTTAAAGAGGCTGAGGGTTTGATCGGAAGCTGTTGTCGCGAATCCGGTTGTAACGGGCAGGATATCCAAGACATAAGTGTCTCGTCCAGGATACCAGTACTTCTCCGTGTTGACTAGCTGGTACATATCGAAACCTCTTATTGCTAATTGTTTGTTTCAATGTTTTAATGGAACCTGGCCTAGGTAGCGAATGTGTAAGCCGGCGTACAAACATCGAGACTAAAAAGGATTGAAGGTGGCCCTAGTTCAGTGCGGGTTTCCCATATTCAAAATTTACCTTGGGGACCCCGTATCTAATTTCTGGTCTATTACGTTGATATGGATTATCTGTGCCCGAAACTCTTATTTTTATCGACAAATTCTGAGCTTCGGGAGCGACTCACAAGCCGTGCGAAAGAAAGAGACCAAGCCATTTTTAAGTACCCCTGTCAAAATGACAGAGTGGAGTGGTGGATTGCCTGCCGCAAAAACCCCTGGCGGCAGCTTAGGTAACGGATTGCGTGCATCATCGCAGTGGGGAGCTCTTCTGGACAGCTTGTAAGAATGAACTTGCCGATGACAGTTTCCCAGGGCCGCATGAGCCGCCCGACATTCTTTTTGGAACGCGCATCAGCTCAAAACTACGAGCATAGTCATGGACTGAAAGCTGTAAACCGCATCTTTTTATTAGCAGAAGTCCACCATGAAAGGGCTTCTCTCGTTGTCCCGTGAGCACACACCCTGAACCAAGCGCAGCAGCATCCCACCCACTAACACCACACCTCCATAGTGCTCTTGCAGGCCATCGCGTTTTCCCTCGCCGACGCACAAGCCGATCAACATGTTCTTGGTGGCGACGCAGCCGGACACCCAAATGGCGATTCGTTTCGAGCAGAGATAACCGCACAGAGAGGGGAACAAACGCCCCGGGAACCTGGTACGGCGCTGCCCTCCGCTGTCGCCTGGGTAGTTTCGGAATTCCGGCAACATCACTGACATACATCAGGCTCCGAACTCGTCGAGTCGGCTCTCGTTGAGCTACATAAGTTGCACCAGCCTCTCCACCACCGGGCGCGGAAACAACATGGCGTCTTCGGAACGCTGCTACACTTCGCCCTTAAGGCCGTTCCCACCCTCCGCCTCAGCGCCCCAACCCCCGAGTCGTCGTCCAAGAACGCGCATAACGGCAAGCTTTTACAAGCGACTCGGCTCCTTGAGGAATCCGCTCGGCAGAACAACTCCGATGCCCTCTACATCCTCGCCGAGATGAACTTCTACGGCAACTTCTCGAACCCGAGGAATTTCCCGGCGGCTTTCGATTACTACCGTCAACTATCATTGCTCAATGGCAACAGCTCAGCGCTGTACATGATGGGGTTGATGTACTCGACGGGTATTGGGGGAGCTGTGGAGCGCGATCAAGCCCGAGCCCTCCTCTATTACGGCTTCGCCGCAAACAAGGGCCATACAAGGGCAGAGATGACGATAGCACATCGACACCACACAGGAATCGGGGCACCTAAAAACTGCGAAATGGCTGTCAAGTATTACAAGCGGGTGGCCGACAAAGCCATCGCGTGGTACCGTTCGGGTCCCCCAGGGGGCAGGAGCTGGGTCACAGAAACCTACCGGATCGCTGATGAGAGTGGTGGCGCTTACGGAGAAGGCGCTAGCGTCGCCAGTGCGGGTAACAACGCTCTCAAGGCACACCCCAACTCGGACGCGTATGCCTCCATCGAAGACATTATTGAGTATCTCGACCTCATGTCGCAGAAGGGCGACTTCAAGGCATCGTTCAACCTGGGGCGGATCTATTACGAAGGCCAGAGGGGCCTCGATAAGAATGTGCCGTTGGCCAGAAAGTATTTCGTTGACGTTACTCAAAAGTACTGGAGGAAGAACCGCCCTGTCGATAGCCCCAAAACGGGGTTGGATAAGACGGCGGGCAAGGCGGCAGGGTTTATCGGACGGATGTACATGCGCGGAGAAGGAGTTGAACAAAACTTTGACCGTGCCAAGTTCTGGTTTGAGCGTGGAGATATCCTGAAAGACGCCCAATCTCAGCACGGCCTGGGGCTGCTGTACCTCAACGGATACGGCGTCAAGGCGGACGCGAGTCAAGCCATTGACTACTTCAAGACGGCCGCCGCCCAAGACTATGGGCCCGCACAGGTGCAGCTTGGATACCTCTACCTTGACCACGGGAGTAACGAAGACGTGGCGACTGCAAACCATTACTTCGAGCTTGCCTCACGGTGGGCCAACATCGAGGCCTATTATCACCTTGCCGAAGCCAACAATATCGGGGTGACTCACGAGAGATCGTGTAGCACGGCTGTGTCCTACTACAAGCATGTGGCCGAGAGGGCCGAACCGCTTGTCTCATCATGGGCCGAGGCCAATCTGGCATATGAGGCCGGCGATACAGAGCTGGCGCTTCTTCAGTACTTGGGTGCTGCTGAGCAGGGATACGAGAAGGCGCAGAACAACATCGCTCACATTCTCGATCCCGCCAAATCCCGCCTACCCATCGCCCAGCTACTCTCCCACCAGCCAACCGCGGCCATCCTCCAGGACCCAACTCTGGCGCTGATATACTGGACACGTTCGTCCCGCCAGGGAAATATCGATGCGCTCGTCAAGATGGGCGACTACTACCTGTACGGGATTGGCACCGATGCCGATGTGGACAAGGCCGTTCAGTGCTACACCGGGGCGTCCGAATACCACCAAAGTGCGCAGGCGCTGTACAATCTCGCATGGATGCACGAACATGGCATCGGCCTGAACCAAGACTATCATCTTGCGAAGCGCTACTACGACGCCGCGCGGGCGACGAACGATGAGGCCTACCTCCCCGTCTCGCTCAGCCTGCTGAAGCTGCGGGCAAAGAGCGCCTGGAATACCCTCACGAACGGCAGGATCAACTCTATTCAAGACGAACCAGGTAAGCGCGCCGGACAAACGGTGGTTGGGCTTAAAACTGACAGGAGTTACTTTGATAGCGCACAAGAAGGAATGGTCCCTCACGGATTGGATCAACAATTTCCTACAGGACGACAACCCCGAATACTACGATGACCTGTATGAGGAGTACGGAGACGGTATGACGGATGGGGATGAGCTGGATCTCAGCGATGATGGACTCTTGGAAAGTGTCATGATCCTCGGTCTGGCCGCCGCGCTGGTTTTCCTACTCATGTACCGCCAACAGCGGCAGCAGGCGGCCAGGCGACAGGAGGAGGCGAGGAGGCAGGCGCAACAAGGAGGCGTTCAGGGAGGGGCAGCCGTTGGAAACCAACAACAGCAACGGCCGCAGGACGGGGGATTTTTCCCGCAACCGGGGGATCCAAATTTTGGGCAGTGGGCCGCTGGAGGGGTTGGACATTAATGATATAAGAGTTGAAATATGTGTATTCGGTAAAGTACATACCGCGGTACCTAGGTATGGAGTAGCGGCGTATTGGTTCCATGGATCATATCAGCGTTAAGGGCTCTTGAGGGGGCAAAATGCCAGCTGTAGGTGGTGTGCACAAGACGAGGGCTGGGTTGGGCGCAGAGTGTTGTTTCTACATATTTATGTATGAATTTCCATGTTTGGCTGAAGATGAGTTGCGGTTTCCTAGTTGACAACAAAATAATTACCTAACCTTAAATTTTCACCAACTTTCATCTCACACTTCAACCTGGATATTCCCGTCCACACGAATTAAGCCCAGCCATCCAGCAAGTGATAAGATGTGATACATCAAACATGCAGCGCAACCACACTGACCACAATGTCATTTCAAACCCCTGGCGGCCCGGCCGCCAAGCGACGACGGATTGAAACTGCGAATGCCACCCTTCGGAAACCGTTCAGATCGCCCCTCGTAAACCGGCAACAAACCGAGCCTGGCACAGAGAGTGCACTCTCCTCCCAGCATCAACCGAGATTCGGCCGTGGCGGCGAACTTCACTCCTCAACCTCTCGCAACTCTCAAGCCAGCTCGAGGTGGTCACCGCCTGGTCTACACATCCCTCTCTCCACCAGCTCAAGCCTTGCCAGCGCCAGCACCCCGGGGCCATCACCAAAACGACCCGTAAGTATCGAATCCAACCCAACACAGGACTCAACCACCACTACCACAACCCTCAAACACCTCTCCACCTCTCCCACCACTCTCCTCACCCAACTCTACAACTCTCAACTCACCCTCACCAGCACCCTCCGCGCCACTCAAGCCCGCCTCGACCTCGCGCGCCAGGCACAGCGCATCGAGTAGGCTGCGCACGCCAAACGGCTCGGCGAGCCCGTCGACGTCGAGCTGTGCGCCATGGCCGCGCGCTGGAAGGCTACTAGCCGGCTGGCGGCTGAGGAGCTGTTTGGGCTGGTGAGGGGGCGGGTGGATGGGATGGGGGGGCGCGAGGGCTTGGAGGGGGACGAGGGGGTGGAGGAGGAGGGGGTGGGAGGATGATGATGATGGTGGTTGTGGTGGTGGGGGGGATGGGAGGGGGGGAGGTGAAGGGAGGGGGTGGGA